GGAGGTGATATTTACCTTTATGTATTATATTTCTATCCATCCATTTTTTCTTTTCAGGAACTCAAGCCAGTTTACCTAATTCTCTTCCTCCTTTCAATCTTAACCCCACAACAGCAACCCTGAGAATCTGTGACTGTCCCAAAGTCACCCAGTGAACCCCATGGCTGTGTGGGTCCTAGGCCCATACTCTTAACCACTACACCACAATGGCTGCTTAAACCACCTTGACAATAGGACCACTGTGGTGTAGTGGTTAAGAGTATGTGCCTGGGACTTAGGCCGTTTGAGTTCTAGTTCCCGCTCAGACATGAAGCCAAGTGGGTGACTTTGGGCCAGTCACAGTCTCTCAGCCCAACCTACCTCACAAGGTTGCTGTTGCAGGGATAAGACTGAGACCAGAAGGAAAAGAATGATGCAAGCCACTTATAGTTCTTTTAAAAAGAAAAAAAGCAGGATAAATAAAAGAGAGAGATGCCTCAGCGTAGTTATAGAGCACGTGCTTTGTGTGCAGAAAGTCCCAAGCTCAGTCCTGGAAATCTACACGTACTGCAGGGGAACAGTCTGAAATCCTAGAGAGCTGCCGCCAGTCAGTATCAACAGCTCTGCACTAGATGGGCCAAATGTAACATCATATGTTCTATTCTTGGTCAGGCTTCCCATGTTCAGGGGATGAAGCCATCATTTCCGAAGAAGTGACATAGTGTGGGAGAGAATTCCCTTCAGGATTGACCCCAGTTAACCGCACCTTCCTAAAAGTCCATCTTGGTAGAATCTGCCCAGCCTGAGGAAGACATCCTTGGGAGGTGAGGACTCCAGCCGAGAAACCATATCTGTCTTGAATCGTATGGACATCCTCTTTGGAGGATGACCTAGAGATACCTTGGAGTCATTGGCTTCTTGTGACTGTGCAACAGGTCAGGAGATCCTCAGCTCTCAGGATATATAGTACCCAACACCTCAAGACACAGAGAGTGCCCCCTCTTTCAATTCAGAGGCAGAAGCCACCTATTTTAAGGAAGTACAGGTACCTAAAGGTACAGGCTGTCAGGCCAGAATGGGTCTACCCTAGGAAGAAGACCCTGAGTAAAGGGTTATTCATGAATGAGGTTCTGCATGTCAATAAGACATTCTCTCAAGTGACTCTGCTGGTCAGCAGCTGTGTCCTACCAGGGGTCTCAATGCTTATACTGTAGTATTAATAATAATTCCATTCTGGAATGCCAAAATCACAAAGCTCTCTGGGTGATTCACAGTGATCCAAGCCTTTAGCAGTTTCAAGCTTTCTGTTCCAGCTAGAGAGTTGCTAAAATAACATCTGTACTGGAGTCCCTAGAATTGCATTTTCTGCTTGTGCTTTATGGGAACCTGTGTGTACAGTTTGCTTTGCTTTTAGTGGGAAGGCATTTTAATGACAAGGCATTTCTCCTAGTGGAATTACCTACTCAGACTGATTTGTATCTTAGCCTAAATCTGGGACTACCCATTTCTAAATGGATGGACTCACCTTCTTAGTCACCCTTAACATGCCTCAAAATTGAGCCCAAACTTCTGAAAAGTGCAAGGATACCTATGATGATCAGCCAACAGCATAGGCATTTTTTCTTTTTCTAGATGAACTTTTATTGGATTGCTCCCAACTGTCAAATAATATCATTCAACTGAAAAAATGAAAACATAAATACAAAAAGAATAGAGAATGCAATGCACATATAACCAAACTGCAAACCAAACTTAATATGGGTTTTCATAAAATTAATAATCATACAAAATTCTTACTGGAATCACGTCTTTCCAAAAGGATCTGTATTGTATTCCTCAATGCTATGCTGATTTTTTTTTTGTTATAATGTAAGAAATACAACATTTTAGTTGAAAAGGTATATGTATGATAGGAGAATGAATCATATTTCTCGCCTAGCTTACCAGCTCAGCATTGTTACCAACTGCAGCATTCCAAAATACCCCAAAAGTAATTGGCCAGAGAAAGGCCCCAAAAGTAGTTGGCCAGAGGAAGGCCACATAGTAAAAACACCACAGTTATACTGTCCCAGAAGGGAGGGGGGATAAGAACAAAATGAACTTTGTGTAACCCACAGCTAACACGCCAGCCTGACCTCAAATACGGTAATTATGCTGCTTTATGAAAGTTGTGCCTTTCTAGTACTAGAGCTGGGTTGAGGAAGAACTGCTTAAAACAGCTGAGATTGGGTGGGAGGAAGGGAGGGCGGCGGGGGGGGTTGGTTTTACTTCCTTTATGTTTCTTTTCATAAAGAAAGTACATCACTAACCACACATGTTAATGTGTAAGACACAACGGCTGCGTTGTGCTATCTAGTTTTCCTAGTCTTGAGGAAAATGTGTGTGTGTGTGTGTGTTCATGGGGTAGAGGGTGGTTTGTGGTTTTTCAGATGTTTGGTTTCCAAATCCCATTATGCTGGCTAGAACGGATGGGAGTGTTAACTCAGACCATCTAGATGGGCACAAATAGCTTATATTGAATTCAATTAATTAATTGGTGCTAAGCATATATAGTTTCTATAAACTGCCCTTAATGCTGAAGTACCAGACTATTGAAGGGACCATTCATCTTGATATGACCCTGCACCATTATTAAGATCTTCAGGCCTGCACTGGGGCAAATGTGAAAGAGCTTTCTCTTGCATCTCACCCAAGCTGTATAATACTGTCCATCAGGAACTGCAATTAACCCTATTCTCTTGGCTTTTAGAAAGTGTGACAGCACATCTTTAAAAAAACCTTTCACGTTCATTATGTTTACTGTTTTGATGCCTTTGTTTGTATAATTTTAAGGTTTTGTTTTAAATAGATGATTTTCTAGCAGATAAGACAGCATATAATGTATGTAATTAATAAAGATCTGAAGTTCTGTATGTTACTTTTTGGTACGCTTGATGAAGATCCTTGCAAAGAAGAACAAGCTCTTTTACTTGGCAGTCTGTTTTTAAAAAGAAACTACATTCTTTTTATCTAAAAGCAAATATAAGAGAGGCTGTGTCTTTTTATGCCAAGCTGAGGAAGACCTCAAAACATATTCAGTGGCATGACAATGCTGACATCTGGGAATTCAGCACATATGGTGAAACAGTGACTGTTGCACTCCCTAGTTTGTTAATCTCCATGTGACAGTTGACAATGGTGGGCAGATATATAATTTTATAGGCCTGAATGGATTCTTGCAGATTACTGTATCAAAGCTGAGACATTTTTCAGCTACAAAGCTTTTTTAAAAAGGCAAGCACAGGAGGTAACGATTCTTATGTCTCATCCAGTGCTGGCAGAGTTCCAAGCAGACATAGAAGCAGACAGCTCTTGTTCAGGGTCAATTCAAGTAAAGGATGCATTATATAGAATGTCCAACTGCCCTAAAAGAAGAATATGGAAGTATACATCAAAAAATTAAACTAATTTTGAGATTAAATTTTGTAAGCACAGCTACTGTAAACTTAAATGTAAATTCAGAGTTAAGGTCATTAGTTGGGGGGTTTTTTGTATATTTTTGTAGCATGTAATTAATATCTCAAATATAGTTTGCAGATGGCTTACACTATTCATACTTAGAAATTTGGCACCTTCAAATGAAAAGCTTCAAAATTAAGAAAAATCCTTGTGTACAGATTCCATAAACAGAGTTTCAAGATAGTATTTATGAAGCTGGATCAAGACCTTCATGTGAACAAGAGGCTTCCTTGTGGCTTGACATGGAAAGAACTATGTGTTTTACTGATTTCCATCTACTGAAGACTTCTTCAAACTAGTACCTTCCAGATCTTTTGGACTACAGTTCCAAACATTCCTGACTCTTGGATGGCCTGGCTATGACTGGTAGAAGGTGAAGACCAAAACATATGCAAGGCACTAAGTTAGGGACACCATGAAACAATATGAGTTCTGTTTGTCTGTATAAGACACAGGATTGGAAGGAAGACATTTGGATTTCTTTCAAACATTTTGTTTATATAAATTAAGGTATGTTTTAACAGAGTATTTACATATAAATGTGTATACATCCCATGGATTATTTATTTCATTTCTATACAGCCCATTGCCCAAGTTCTCTGGACAGTTTACAATAGACTATGAAAGCAATAAAATGCAATAGAAAAAAACATTAACAAGATTTTTTTAAGAAATAAATGACATAAAATACATTAAAATACAATAAAAAGATTCAGCCAAGAATAAAAGAAAGGCACCCAGATAATAGCACAACTAGCTTACTCTGAATTGGGCTTTTAATGTTATACATATTTATTCTACAGTAATGAAGCCAGGGTACTTATGACTTACTCCTATGTATGATAAACTATAGCAACCATTTGTGGATTAGGTAATATATGTCATTCTTATCACATTAACCTGTTGTAAGGCAAGAAAAATAAAGTTGGGATTTACTGAGAATAATCTCCAGTGGCAGAATTGTTCTAGTGGGTTTCACATAACCTATGAGTGACTGTTGTCAATTATAATATATAAAATTGTGTTTCCATGTGAATTGACTGTGAATTATTACCCTGGCTATAATTCAGTCCTTGCTTTGCATTCATTGTGTGAGAGAAAGGGATCCACCCATATCTTTTTGTAACATTGAAGAATTGTTTAAAACGGAAAGTTAAAACTGTCAAATGGTGACCTGGGAATTTAAACAACGGTCCAAGTATTTCTTAAGAAAGGAACTGAAGAGCAATGTAACTGATGCAGCTTTGTTGGAAATCACATCAAAACAAAATTGTCCATCTCGTTTGTTCTATGTATTGCTGTTTTCAAATTTTGTGTATCATCTGAATTACTGACAATGTAAATGATTATGAAACTGTATTGCAATTTATTATTTATTGATCAAGTAAGAAACAATCTCCATTCTAACCCGCATCTGCAGCTGGATTGATTTTATTCATTTTAAACATTGGCCTTGGATAGCCTTGATATACAGTGAAACTGATAATGTATTCACTTGTCCTTTTCTTCTGTTCTTTTTTCAGAGTGCAAATTCACCTGCACCAGTGGTAAATGCTTGCATCTTGGCTCACTGGTCTGTAACCAACAAAATGATTGTGGGGATAATAGCGATGAAGAGAACTGCTTGCTTGTAACAGAGCATCCACCTCCAAGCATTTTCAGCTGTAAGTACTGAGTCCCTGTGTGCCATTTCTGAAATTCACAATGAATGCTATTCTACTTCATAGTATGCAAATATGCAAAATGTAATTTTCTGTTAGAACCACTATGGATACTGAATAGAAACGTTGGGATTATCTAAAGAGTCCTTTCCATTATCCAGGAGTGCTGTTGGAGTATTTATACGAAATGCATTTACCTCTGTTGGGGCACATGTAAAGGAATAGCTTCTGTATAGCTTGAAGTGCCTGATCCTGCCTAATCCTGGAAGTTAAACAGAGTCAGGCCTGATTAGAATCTGGATGGGAGATTTGAGCCCTGCATTGCGCAAGAGATTGGATGGCTTTTGGGGTCCCTGCATGAGTCTATGAAAGACTTGAACACAGTACAGTCTCTATTATATTGAAAATGTGCTTTTGTGCCACATACAAATACATTTGTGGGAGAATAGGAGGAAGTGCAAAGGTGATGTGTGCAGGGAGCTGACCCTTTAATTTTTTTTTCAATCCATTAAGCTATCTATGTAGGCATGAGGGAAAAGGAGTAAAGGTGGTTTTTTTTAAAGGAAAAAGGAGATTTACTTCTGAATAAGCTCGGTTGAAGTTATGTTGATTTACTTCTGAGCAGAAGTAGTAGTTGTTGTGCTACAAAAAAGACACTGGAAGAAATTCCAAACATTTTTTTTCCTGAGGGAATGGAGGGGGAAGCAACTTCTCTTCAGTTCCAGATTAACTCTGTGTGTTGTGAGTGGGGGTAGAGACACCTTGGGATGGGGCAGGAAAGTGATGAGGGCTGATTTCAGTGCTCCCAATGCTGAGCCGAGCCAGGAACAGCCCTTTTCACACAGCACTTCAAGCAATGTGGAAGGCTTGTACTCTTCACAGATGCATACCTCAACATTAGCAAATACTGCAGCAGCAGTAACAAAAACATGAAAAGCCGAGTAGGGCATTTTCTTTTCCAATTCCACTAACTCTCAACTCGCTAAAACCATTCCTGCCCTCCCCTGGATAGTCCTGCCAGCTTAGCACACACCAGAATACATACCTTGGAAAAAAGCACAACATAGAAAATCATCATGATATAGCTGGTCTCAAACTATCAGGCATATAGAGGCAGAAAGTAAATGCAAGGGCAGTTTAGGATGTCTGTCATGTGACCTGCCAGTGAAGTTGGGCAATACAACACCAGTAAAAATGCCTAGCATATATCCCCCATAATCATAATTGTAACTTGTAATTTTCTTTATCATCTGTTTTCTCAGTAGTTCTATTTTTCCTATTTCCTACTGATTTCCTACTGTTTTTATCAGCTAACTAGAAGTGCAAGACATTTTTTTAAAGCAGACATATTTTCATATACCACTAATTATCTCACAGTACTAGCCATATTGAATTCTTTATTAGGAAATCAGTGCTTCATGAGCTAGTAGATGAGCAGGAAGAGAAAATAGGACTGGTTTACATGCCATGTTATCTTTGTAACAGGCACTTTCCACTGTATAATTCTTCTCCCCGTGGTTCTCAATATCTAGAGTAATAGAACCCCAGGAATGGCTATGTATGTCCTCTGGGATCATCCAGCATGATTGGGAAAATCTATCAGCTGTCAGCAGTTTGCCAATGATGGAGATGATCAGGGGGATCCACGAGGCAAGCTGTTGTACTTTAATATTCACAGTGAAGCTTTCTGCTACACATGTAAAGTAATGTTAGTTTGGTGTCCTGTATTGTGCTGGGAATGGTAGGGAAAATTATTCTTTTAAAATAGAGAAAACAAACTGTTCAGTGTGTTCATGTGGAGACTTCATCTGTGCTTATTCAGTTATGTACTTGCTGAAAACATTTTAAAGTTTTTTATGGAAACATGTAATGGCGATTAATACCTCAGCTGGCTATGGAACTGATTTGTGTTTGGACATCCTACCCCATATACTTTTGAATGAGAAATAAACATGGTTTGGCTGTGCTTCAAAAATATAGAATCTAATGCATGTTTCTTAACTTCTGACCTTGTGGTTTGAATCAAATTACATTTTTCGTTGTGTTACTAAGAGATATTTAATGGCTGTAATTTAACAACCAAACATATACCTATGGAGCAGAATACAACCTAGCTGTGTTCAGTAAGTGAGTTGAAGGGAAATTCTATATATCCTTTATGCATTTTCATTAGGAAAATTTTGGAGAGGTTGTTCATAAATGTACATATCAGCTTAGCATGTGTGGCATATTTATAGCACCTGCTTCCTATCAGCAATCCATGTATGTCATGGCTTTCTATGATCTACCAATCCTTTCTTCTGCATCAGGTTAAGACTCCAGGTTTAGTGGTATGACCTTTTCTTTGAAGCAGAAAACTATTTGGTGATAGGTCACTGTGGAAATTTCGTCAAAGGTAAGTGACCTATCAAGACTAATTGGCTGTCTAGCGTATAACTGTGTGGTTTTCTGGGAAATATATAGTGGGGCCATAGGCTTAGACCTGAAGCTTAAGATTAAGAAGACAGTAAGATTGGACATTTTCTAGGACCCCAGTACTGGCAGTGTTGGCTTGCAAATTGGCTGCCCAATAGTTTTCCCATTCCCATTTGGAATCTAAGTCAACAGGATGTAGTATGAGAGAATTCCATACCCTTCTGAAAAAGAAAAAGCTCTTCAGAGAAGGTGTGAGGATGGCTCTGAGAAGGCCTCATTGAATTCCTGTTTTGTGTGAATACATGCATCAGCTTCACTACTATGGTTCTATTTTAAACAGTGGCAATTCAAATGTTACTAAAAAGAAGTGGTAAATTTTCCTTATTTAAAGCATTTATCTGCTTCCCAGTAGCAGAAGCTGTCTGGATAGTTCCCCAAGTATAGGTTCAAATAATAAAATACCAAATATTATTAAAAGTAGAATCTGAAATATATTAAATCAACTGCAGAATAAAAACAAAACTAATACTCGAAAACAGGCAGGAGCAGCAATATGCAAAGCTTTAAAAAGCCCTTTCTGGAGAAGTCATTCCAGAACTGAGACCCCACCACAGAAAAGGCCCTCTCTTTAATAACCAGCCGCTACACCTAGTTTGTCTGGAGCATCTGTTCAGAGGCATTGGAACTGGAGATGGCTTTGGGGTCTTGGTAGTTACAGACAGGAAGAGCTACTCCTTCAGATTTCCTGACCAAGTTGCTTAAGCTCATAACGGTGCAGTACCCAAAGCACTGTTTTAGCAAGCTTACACTATCTAATCCAGCATAATAAATAAGTTAACAGCTTAAGCTGATGAAAAGTGCTCTTAAATAAGAGACTGCTTGTGCCTCTAATAACAAGGCTGGATCCAAGAGCACTCCCAAACTGAATCTGATCCTTTGCAGGGCTGTCCATGATAGGTTGAAAACCACCTAGCTTGAAACCAGCAATCCACTAGCGGAGCTTCCATCCTATTTGGATGCTCAGCTCATTAACCTCATTTAGTCCATTTCTGCATCCAGGCACCAGTTATGAGCACCCACTGCCTCACCTGGTTCTGATGAAAAGAAGGGACAGAACTGGGTGCCGTCCAAATATTCTTATTGACAAACAAAAGAAGGAGGTCCATTCAGTAAAATGCAATGTGAACAAAACAGTGGACCATAAGAACAATTGTATTGTATGAAACAGAAACTACATAAAAATTAAACATGGATGATAATCAAATTGGTGAGCACCTGTATATCAAGTAAGAATACTCAGTGTACAAGTAGCCATTTGATCAAGAATACTTATTGCATGGATACACTGAGTCTCTATTTGACAAATGCTGAAATACTGATTAATTGTATGATGGAAACTCTGGATCCAGAGGAACAAGCTTGACTACCATCTATAACAGTTAAAGAAGATAGTTGTTTTGTCATTCTGAAGAAGGAAAAAAAATACAATCCGTATAATCAGTTTTACTATCACTGGTGTTTGCTCATTCATGCACTTTCTGTTTTCCTACAGTACAATTGTTCTTATGGCCCATTGATTCATTTATGTTGTGTCCACATATTACTACCCCCTCATGGGCAATATTCAATATTGCCAGCCCATCAGCACTCATCAGGTGAGAATGACAGCATAATGTGAAGCCAGTGCTTGCTACATATGAATACCAGAAAATAGCCAGAATTGGTGTTTCCAGAAAAGGACAGGTTGTATTCCAAAAACAGTAGCTTGGACTAGTTTCCAATGTTGCTGTAGCAGATGCTAGTTTCCCACTGTGTTAGCAGACATTTCTGCTAATGCAACAGCACCATTGGATATGGCCCAGTGATTCTTCTGTTTAATACATGAATTTTGCTTCATGTAGAAAGCAGTAAAGAACTATTTTTAAACTTTCAGCATATTGCCCTAACCTAGCCAATGGGCCATACTTAAGTATGCAGAGGCCAGCTTCCCCATGCATCTCCCTGGCTAGCTGGGGAAATACTTGTGGAAAGAGAAACCTGTAAAAAAACCTGCTGTCACTGGATCAGCAGGGGCTGAGGCTCCTCTGCTTCTCAATTCCCAAGGCAGAGTGCATTGCGGGATTCCAGTCTCTTCCAGGCTGCTTCATGCGTGTTCTGTTGGGCTGGAGCCAGACTGAATGTTTTTTTTTTTTTTTGGATTTTGTGCAAAAACAGACACCAGCTGTTTCTAAGCATTTCATACGTTGATAGCATCAGGCCAGGTGCAGTGATACAATAACTTGTCAGCAGTTTAAAATTACTAGGAGGGCTAAGTACTGGACACTGAATTGTTCAATTAATTAAGGCATTGTAGTGGTTACTTTAATTACAGCATTCTGTACTTTTGTATTAGCTCTCTTATTTGTAGGAGCAGGGTACTTAATAATCAAATCCACCAGTGACAGAAGCGGTAAAGATTTATCATCATGTATTTCCTTATTACTGTTGGTGCATTATGCTTTTATAGTTGTAAAGCTTGATGTTTCAAGATAATTGCCAAGATCTATCCATAATACCATGGAAAATTAGGGGCAAAGAGACACAGTCAA